TCTGAGTTTATGTAAAGGGATTTTTTTTGTACGGAAACTGTATAAATGTTTTTATATCTGTTTATTTTAAGGTTATGGCAAAGTAAGGTAATTTAGCACTTAAGTGGGCAGAAATAAAGGGGTAGAGACACTGGAAATAAAGAGGAAGCACTCAGCCATTAAAGTGTTTACAACTTGCATTTTGGCTCATGCGTATATGTGCAAGTATGTATGTATGTATGTACAGAATATATATATATATTTATGTGTAATGAATTAAGGACAGCACTGCTCCTCTGTGTACAAAGAGAAGGGCAAAGGTGTTAGATGCAGCAAGAGCCTTGCATTTACATTTGCAGCGTCATTTGAACTAAATCCATTAACTGGTATCCATTGAGGTATACAAAAGCTTTAAACGTTGGGTTATATTGCCGTTTACAGGAGGACACTGGCAAACAAAAAAAAACATGGGCCGGCCTAAGACAGCCCTTCCTACTACCAGCATGCCCCTGCTTTTTGCTAATGTCCAAGGAGGATAAACATTGTTTCTTTAGTTCTGCTGCTTTAAAGCGGAGCTCCACCCAAAAGGGGAATTTCAGCTTTAAAGACTGGTCTCTCGCTCCCCATTAAGGATTGGCACCTTTGGGGAGCGGGTACCCGAAATTGACAGATACCCACTCCCACTTCCGCGGCATTTGCTTAGGCAATCGGAAGCGGAAGTTGTCCTCCTACCCTCCCTCCCCGTAGTCTTCTGGGACTTGTAACAGGTCCCAGAAGACTAAGGGACCATTCAGGAAGCGGAGCGCTACTCGCGCATGTGCAGTGAAGCCGCAAGCTGTCACAGCCGGGTGCCCACACTGAAGATGCGGCGCCTGGAATATACCAGACAGCTGGTGAAACGGGCTGCGGGAAAGACACCACGGGATTGAGGGACAGGTAAGTGGCTGTTTTTTAAAAGTCAGCTGCTACAGTTTTTGTTGCTGCTGACTTTTATTTTATCACAATGTGAGTGGAACGCCGCTTTAAAGACTAACCAATTATTTTGCTAGCACTGTTATATTTTTTTTCTTCATTTGAGACTCTCTACACTGGTGCTAGAGGCTTTCACTATGATTTGCAATGATACAGCAAGGTCAGCCTTGGCTTAGCTTGGTACTGCATCTGAGCCCCGCTGGACTGCACATCGAGGAGCTAACCTGGAAGTAATCTTTGAGCACTGACTTCTGCATGGGATGCTTTGCAGACTGAGCTCTGGTTAAAGTGGAGTTCCAGGGAAAAAGTAAAAAATACTGTAGCTGCTGACAAAAAACAGCCACTCACTTGTCCCTCGATCCCGCTGTGTCCCCACTGCAGCCGGCACCGGCTGTCCTGTGTTCCCAGCGACGGCATCTTCAGTGTGGGCACCCGGTTGTGATAGCTTGCGGCTTTACAACCGGGTGCCCACTACTCATGTGCAAGTAGCGGTTCACTTTTGGAATGGTCCCGTAGTCTTCTGGGACCTGTCACGTGTCCCAGAAGACTACGGGGAGGGAGGGGGAAGGACAACTTCCGCTTCCGATCATCTAGGTGATCGCAGTGGAAGTGGGTACCTGTCAATTTCAGGTGCCCACTCCCCAAAGGTGCCAATCCTTAACAGGAAGTGGGAGACTAGTCCTTAAAATGGAACTTCCCCTTTTGGGTGCAGCTCCGGTTTAAGTTAGCTGCAGAGCACTTTCCAGGTCCAGAATCACAGACATGACCTCTGTGCCTGCTCTGTCCCTGAAGACTCACTTAGTGAGTAGGTTGGTCGGGCTATCATTGGTTGCTGAGTGCCATCATCCTCTGTTTCCCACCAGCACTCTGTTCCACAGCGGTAACTCCTTTAATGGCAGCTGCTGGATACCCAAACAGTATCTTTATCTCATTGAATGAAGCTGCTATTCGGATGACAATTTTCCATCTGGGTCCAATTTTTCACTAAAAGGGCAGTAGTGGACTGACAGCTTTAGTCTGAACTTCATAAATACTCAACAGATTTTTCATGTTCCTCATAGCCCTACTCTGCAACTTATCTTTACAAGGTCCTGTGCTGTCCAACATCTCTTTCCTCAAGGCTGCAGCGGACTTTGAGACTGGTGAACCATTAAACTTGCCTGCATTTTCACATACTCAGATTTAGTGCCATTGAATATGATTCACTCTTTCTACTGCTGCTGACATATGGTATGTCAGTAGCAATGAGGGGTTTTATACATAGGAGGGAGTGCATGTAAACCTGACAAGCCAACTATCAACTTTCAGGGGGCAGTAAAAAAAATTAAAGGTATACCCAAGCAATTTAAACTCACCCAACAAAATGTTAACTTCCTTGGGTGCCTCAATATGAAAACATTGATGGCAGTACATGTTGCATGCCGTAATCCCCGTTGGAGTGAGAGCAATAAATATTGGGCCATTATTCACAGTTAACTCTAACCTGATGACATGAAGAAGCTTGTAAAGTGTCAGCTATGGAAAATTATGTGGAAGTTCGTTGCCATTTCACATCAGGAAAAATCTGAAGGATTGACATGTTGGGTTTCAGTTTGTTCAGAACAACCTCATTTTTTTAATTTTACCAAAGAGTAGATCAATATGTTGAATGTGTGTAATTTTGACATATTTGTACTGGAAATGTGTGGTTGAAACGTTTTATTCTCCAGGGCCTGGAGCATTTGAGGTTTTTAACAAATCTTTAGGCCTAAAATGATTTTTTTTAACGTATGCAAAAAACACATAAACAGCGGTCCAGCATAAGGGTTAAGCAAGCAACGGGCGTATGGAGCAAACAGGTAATCCAAAAATTTACCACCAAGTCAGTTTAATGTTTGACTGGAGTATATATTTGAACTGTTGACAGGTATGAAAACAGAGCTGATTTGATTATGACAATGACATCTTGGAGGAAACCATGAATCAGCAGTTCTGTCTTTATTCATAGACTATTTACATTGTACATAACCACTATTTACATGTGGCATACTTGTCTACAAGAATAACTGCATTTCCCCCCTTATTGTCCTGTGGTTTGCTTTTCTGAAGTGATCACAAGGAAATATTCGATCGTATGACTGGTCTGAGTATAAATAGAGAGATTTGGACTCTGAACTTACCTAATAAAAATAGTTTCAACCTCCAAAACTACACTCTTAGCATTGACTGGGAACTGGTTGGTCTCTAAACCTGCAACTCCACAAAGTACTATATGTACCCACAATAAAGTACATGCAATTTCAGAAACAATCTTTCCTGGGGAAAACAATACAGTATGTGGGGTACTCATATTTTCTGAAGGCAAATTTTTCAATCTCTAGAAATACTTTCCTTTTATCACTATACTCTACCCTTTAAATTATTTCTCAGCATTCAATATGCTAGACCAGACTTTCTCAGCGATGGTTCTGTAGAGCACTAGGGTTCCTTCGGAGTTTGTTAAGGCTTCCTTGAGCAATGAGCAGTTTCTGACTCTCAGATAGACAACCGTGGACAACAATGACCTTTTTAGCTACCTGTTATTTTCCCAACGAGCACAGGCATAAGGAACATTCTTTCCAGTGGTCACCACATTAATTTACCCTGAGCTGTAGATATGGTAATTTATAGCAAGTGTTCCATGAGACTGAAAAGTTATTTTTAAGGGTTCCTTTGTCTTGAAAGGTTGAGAAAAGCTGTTCTAGACACGGGGGGGGCTCCATTTTTTAAATGTTTTCTCATGAGATTCACACAGTTCTCACCTAGAATTAATATATTTTTCAAATTAAACCCAGTTATAATGTTAATCTTTGGTGAAAAGTGTATAAATCTTATGTGAAAAAGATCCCTCTATCTCAGCCTTAAATTATGTAGCAGGTCCTATAGACTGCAGTCAGGAGACAATGAGAATCTTGGCCTGAGTGGCAAACACACAAACACAATTAACTAGGGTTTTCAAGATAAAGGTGAGCTGCTGTTGGCTAAAGAGTGCATAACATGAAATGGGGTTGATTTACTAAAACTGGAGTGCAAAATCTGCACAGAAACCCATCAGCTTTCAGGTTTTTTTTGTCAAAAATTGAACAAGCTGGCGTTAGAAGCTGATTGGCTACCATGCACAGCTGTGCCACATTTTTGCACTCTCCAGTTTTAGTAAACCAACCCCAAGGTGTGCCATGATGCCTCATTCACTGGAGGGCATAGTAAGAGGTGGTGAGGGGGGGGGATGTCATAAAGCACAAAGTTTATTTTGATTAATTATTAGTTTTAGCTCAAGAGGCGAATGCCCCCCTAGTCCTGTCCTGACCTGACTATCTCTCTCTGTCCAATGTCTCTCCTTGAAATATGACAACCTTGAGGTATTCTGCAAATTGAAAGTGTACAGACCATGCCAAGAAATTCAATTCCCTACTTTTTTGTTGATCTTGCCAGCAGTCTGTCACTGTCCTGGGTTCTCTGCAGACTTCCCAAGTTATGTCAAAGAGCATCCATACTTCTTTGTCTTGGACTACAGAATGATTAACCTTTATGTTGTAGAGATCTGAGAGTGGAAGTGGTTAAGTAGTTTAGTAAAACAGACTAGACAAGGCTGATGACACTCAGTCCATAAACATGCTGTGGGTAGTCAGCCCACAACAGGGCTTAAGAGCTGAGTGCATTTCCAGCAGATCAACAAGTACTGTATTTCCATATTTGCAGGTTTTTAAAAGCAAATGTTAAATTTTTAAGAAAATAGCCTAAGCACACAAATAGCACTACTAGGTTAAATACATTGTGTAACATGTTGTTTAATGGAACTGCATACCTGTAGGTCATTTCCACTCCTCAGATGTTTAACCAAAAAAAAACTCACAGTTAGTGTTAACTTGTCCTGGCCGGGTCCCGGGACACTGCAGCCATTAGACTCACCCTCCCAGTATCACAACATAAGCAGTGTTCCAATTTCAAATCTCAGCAGCAAAGCTTCAGTTAGGCCGCTGATGTCATCTAGGGGGTGCATGAGCACAATGTTCTTCTCTGGGGCTTTGCAGCAGGATGGCTGATTTAAATCACACTGTCAGGTCCTTTGGAAGCTTTTCAAAGGGTTAAATAAAGAAGAGGAGCAGCTTGCTCCATGGCGTGGAAGGCTTCGGCAATATGATTCAGACAGAGCAGAGAGTAGAGCTTCTTGGAGGCCACTGGCAATAAAGGAAAAGGCATCATTGTGGAGAGCATTGTGCTCTTCCTACTCTGCCTTATCTTGTCAATCAGCTTGGTATCAGTGCAAGGAGCTGCATCACCCTGAGCAATGAGCAGCCAGCTCTCATACTATGGCAGCAGGGAGTCCACACTCATTCTGGGAAAGAAAACTGAGACCAGAGTTCTTTAGACCTGTAACCAATGGTACAGGAACACACAAGCCAGTTTGAGCCATACTAAGATAACTAGCAGCTACCTCTCCTAAATAAGAAGACTATGGACCACCTCTACTAAATAAGAGGTCTATGGGCCACCTTTCCTAAATGTGAGGTCTATGGGCTGTCGTTTCTAAATGAGAGAGATATGGGTTGCCCCTTCTAAATGAGAGGACTACGGGGTACCTCTCCTAAATGGGGGGACTATCTCTCCTAAATTGGAGGGCTATGGGCTGCCTTTCCTCAATGAGAGGGCTATATTCTGTCTTTTCAAAATGGGAGAGCTATGGACTGCCTGTCCTAAAGAAGAAGGCTATGTTCTGTCTCTTCTAAATGGGAGGACTATGGGCTGTCTCTCCTACATAAGAGCACTCAGGGTGCTTTTCCTAAATGAAAAGGCTATGGTCTGCCTTGCTTAATTGAGAGGATTTTGGCCTGCCTCTCTTTAATGAGACGACTATGGGCTCAACCCCAGTTGGAATAATAATGCCAGAGGTAGTTGATCCAGGGAATATCCAATTGCCTCTTGGAGGATTAGGAAGGAATTTTACCCCCACTGGAATGATTTGGATCATGCTTTACTGGGGTTATTGGCCTTCCTCTGGATCAACTATGGGCATAGGATAGTGTATATGGAGATTTTCTATCTGTGTTTTTTTTTTAATTGATTGAACTAGATAGATTAGTGTCTTTTTTCAACCTAACTATGAAACTGAATTATCCACACTAAAGTGTGAGTGATAACACCCTGAGAGAAGAAGAGAGAACACCACCCCCCCACCTTGAAGAGACACGCACCACTACGAAGGCCTCCTCGACAGGCAAGGCCACCACCACCAGGTTGGGGCAGCCAAGAAGTCCTGTTCCATCACTCTTTTCCCAGTTAGAAAATAATCTTGGAGACTCTGTTGATCTAATTCATGGCTGCCAACAAACTCCCCATAGAAGTAGTGGGGATCACCTGAATGAGAGTAAAACTCTGAAGACAAAACCCTCTACAGGTGTTTTTTTATACACATGCCTGGAAAAGGGCCATTGCAGGTGATCATGGGCTGAACATCATTCAGGGATGGAGGAATGGGAGGGATGCCCTACCTCCTTGAGGCAGCCTAAAGAGATTAGACAATTGATTGGAGTCTTGAAAGCACTGGAATGCTAGGGTGCAGATTCAGTCAACCTTTGGGAGACAGTTGGAATCATTTGGGTGTCTTTTGGAATGTTGCAATACTGCCTCACCATAAACTCATATTTCTGTTGGACTCCATAGAACCACTGCGCCTAAAAATACCTCATTCATCGCCAAGACTCTCACAGTAGTCAGGTGGGGCATAATATTGGTTAGAATACACACAGTAGAGAACATCTAACACCACTTACCACCCAGGGACCCCAGTGATGGAACTGACTCTGATCTCAGACATGGTTTCCCCTGAATTTAAACACATAGAACTCCAAGAGTTTCACGGTCCCCTCTATGCATGATGTGGGTGTGATAGCGCTGGACTGATAGAAGTAAACATTGGTTACGATGGATCTAACATAAAGTAAGTTCGTGATTTACTTTAGCGCTTGAGCAAACAGTGTTAATAAAATCACAGCAGAATGCACAAAGGGACTCGTTAAGGCTTGAAGAAAGAATACAATGCTGCCATCTGTCTATTAGCCAAAACTTCCACTTCAACGTTTTTGTTTACCGTTTTTTGTTTACCAGTGTTCAAACCTCCTCCTTGACAGATCGAAATGTAATACGATTTGCAATGACTTAGTACAGGCAGAGCTCCATGTTCAAAGATGGCTGTGTGGATCGCCGCTATTCCTTAGATAAACATGATGAAATGGCCATCCGGGGAAGGACAGGAGAACAGATACTTCCATCCTTACAACTGAAAGGTGGCATACTGTACTGTAGGGTGACGACGATCTCCCATGACTCATTGGTAGCTTGGCAGGTTCTCCTGTCAAGAGCCTGAGCTCTCCCCAAGTCTGAGAGAATCCATGTGGAAGCAGAACACTGAGGTGTACATAAGACAAACCATGTGTGTAGGACTATTCCAGCTGATCGAATAGCAGGGCTGAATCTAGCTGATTTGATTTGGGGGTACAGTAAAAAAGATCATGGGGCCGAGGACAGGAGGTCATTAGGGCAGTATACAAAAACAGGAATAAATAGGACATTGTACTGGAGGTCAGCAAGGCAGAGGATAGGGGTTAGTGGAGCAGAGGGCAGGGATCGGCAGTTTGTAGGGCAGTTTATAGGGACAGCAGGGCAGTGGGGGCAGCAGGGTGGTGTGTAGTGGGTTAGCAGGGCAGAGGATGAGTGCTCAGCATGGTAGAGGATGGGCTGTCAGAGCAGAAGATGGGCGGTCAGCATAAAGGAGGACAGGGGGTCAGCAGGGCGGAGTACAGGAGTGTCAGGGAACGAGAAGATCACCACGACGCATGAATCTGCACATGCGTAGGATTCCGACAAGAGATAGAGGCAGGCGGGCACTAGGACCCAGGTGCGCCTGTGACCAATGACAGTGCTGGCAGGCACTAGGACCCAGGCACGCCTGTCAGTGCCGGGCGGGCTATTTAAACCAGCTCTTGCAATGCTCACATTGCCGTATGGTCTTATTCCTGTGTTTCCTGTTCCTAGTACCTGAGATTGCCTTTGTTGCCGAACTTGCCTGACCCGGATTATCGTGATTCTCTCCTGCCCTGATCCCTGGCTTGTCTGACCATTCTTTTGCTTTCTCCTGTTTACCTGACCTCCTGTTGCTGAACCTGGACTGTGACCCGTTTATCCTTTTGCCTGCTGATCTGTACCGTCTGCCTCTGCTGTTACCGACCTGGCCTGTCTGACTACGTTACACGCTACCTCTTCACATCTGACTCTCACTTGTACCTACCACTGGCAAATCCACCTCTACCACAGCTGGTTGAACTTGGGGGTTGCAACCTGGTCTCAGACTGCTTCAAGTCCACCCCCACCATCAGGGGTTCTGGTGAAACAGCAGACTGGGGCTTAGATTCCGCGCCCTGAGGGATTCCGGCCTGTGGGTCGCTAGAGGCTACCGCCAGTCGGTCCTTAACAAGGAGTCAGCAGTGGACAGGACGTTGTGACATGGCCTATGTTAATAAAGGCAAACTCAGCCTCTAAACATTATAAACAATAAATGAACCCTAAGTGATTCAGTGGCGCTGTGAACAAAAAATCAGTCTTAAAGTGGCAAATTATAAAATTGATAAAAAACTGATAAAAGTCCATAAATTCATTCCAACGTAATAATCTTCTATTTACTTCCCAAAACCGAAATCACCACGTATTCAAGAAAAAGCATTTCCCCTTTTGGGCATACACTCACCAAATTTCCATGCCTCCCACTCTCATGGTCGGCATCAGGGGCGGACTGACAACTCATGGGGCCCCCGGGCAATAGGGGATCATGGAGCCCCTGTGTCCTTGCCCAAACTCAAAAAAGCCTATGAAAAAGGCACCAGGGGCATCTCATGGGGCCCCCTAGTGACCCCGGGCCCTCGGGCAGCGCCCGAGTTTCCAAATGATCAGTCCGTCCCTGGTCGGCAAATATCGCTTTGAAAAACTCCAAATAGGAAGGTAATATGACAATATCAGCATATCCACAATCCTCCTTGCTCCTCTCCCCCAGATGCAATGGCCATGAAAGAATAAAAGGTAAAAACTTCAATGACGGAAGTGACTCAACACATCAGGTAATTAAGGACTTAACAAAGAAAAAAAATACAAAAACTCTATTAGAATACTCATTATAGTTGCAGCAAACTCTGCAATCTACAAACATACAAGCATTGCGAATATACTGTATCTCTACCCTTTTGATCAAGGCTTGGACTATCCATTTTCATTTTATTTTGAAATAAGGACCTAAAGATGTAGCATTTAAGGAATTAGATGCTAAGACTGAAAGTGTTCCTAAACCCAGGACCCTGCATTCACTATATCTGGTCTCCCACTGTACACAGACCATGGAAATACAATTATTTTAGTAAATATAAACTGCTAAATACCTTTTCTCATCAGCAGTTAGAGCAGTCTTGTGACTTCTGTCAGTGTCCAGCAGAGCACTGGTTACAGCTTGTAGGAGGAGCTTTAATTCTGCTGTAGGAGGATGCAGGACCCCTGACCTCTGTCTGGACAGTGCTGATTGGCCCTGTGCTGATGACATGCACTCTCCCAAGAAAAAAAAACCTTTCTAGCGATGCAAACTGAGCATGTGCACAGTTGCTCCACACAATATGTCTTATCAGGAGATAAGTGGGGAGCACTGGAAGAAGGGGAGGATCAGAGAAGACAGGATCAAACAGCGTTTTTACATAATGCAGAGGATTAACCACTTAGGTTCCACAGTGAGTATAACAAGCATGTTTTACTGCACATACAGATTCATTTTACTGTTGTGGGTTTAGTAACACTTGAACTACTAAACCTTTGGTTCTTCCATTGTCACATGAACCATTTGTGATAATTACACCTGGCATTGCTGACCTCCTCCTGGAAACACAGTTTTTCTGATTGTCATCCTAGCCCGCTGGCTTTGATGCTTTCAGAGTCACTGACTCAGAACAAGAATGCTGATCTGGAATTTGTAACAAAAATTAGAACTGTTGATTACTTTATTTACATGCTTGTTTCAGGTCAGTGACTCAGTACTCATGTCATGGGGTCAGCATGATAG